TTATTGAATAGAACCACAAGAGTACTTAAAGTGGGAAGAATGATGCAAAACACTAGTATCAGAGGAGGAGGTGGCTAGGGTTGTGGCTCAGTTGGTTAAGCTGCTTGCAGGTAACTGTGCATCCCTTTAGTACCAGTTTGAGTCCTGGTAGCTCCAGTTTGGCTTCCTATTAACATACCTGGGAAAGCAGCAGAGGAATGGCCCCAAGGGATTAGGCCTCTGTCACCCTAAGGGAGACCACTTGGAATTCCTGGTTTCTGGCTTCAACCTGGCCCAGATTTGGTCATTGCCATCATTTGGAGAGTGAACCAACAGGAAGATCTCTCTTTGTCTTTTAAGCCAAATAAAATATTTTTTTAAAAGAATCAGAGAAAGAAATTTCATGACAGAAATATGGGAGGGACTCAACTCATAATTTCAGACCTTGAAGTTGGAGGAAGACAGCCATGCACCAAGAAGGCAAGAAATGGATTCTCCTCTGGGGCCACTAGGAAAGCATGCAGTCTGCCTACACTCTGACTTTATACCAATGAGAGCCACACTGAAATTCTACAGCATCCTAAGATAGCAAATTAGTATTGTGTTAAGCCTAGCCTGATGTGGTAAACTGTTCAATAGAAGATCGTTTCTATTGTTTATAGGCAGAAGTTGAGCATCACTGTGAATTCATTATGTTTAGCTCAACGTAGTTCAAGACTGGCGATTTCATGACAGGAGCCACCCTGCTGCCTGTTTTTGTAAACAAAACCATATTGGATGCAGCCATGTTCATTTCTTTACTTACTGTCTACATCTGCCGCCCTCTTACAGCTGCATTGAGTAGTTATGACAGGGTACACAGTGCCCACAAAGCCTGAAATAATTATTCCCTGACACTTGAGGGGAAAAAAATGCAAACTCCTGCTCTAGGATATTACCCTAATACCCCTTCACTACACTTAACAACCCTTTATCCACATTTATCACCATATTCTTTGTTTTTTAAAGACTTATTTTATTTTTATTGGAAAGGCGGATATACATAGAGGAGGAGAGACAGACAAAGATTTTCCGTCTGATGATTCACTCCCCAAGTGACTGCAATGGCTGGTGCTGTGCCAATCCGAAGCCAGGATCCAGGAACTTCTTCCGGGTCTCCCATGTGGGCGAGGGTCCCAAGGCTTTGGGCCATCCTCGACTGCTTTCCCAGGCCACAAGCAGGGAGCTGGATGGGAAGTGGAGCTGCTGGGACTAGAACCGGTGCCCATATGGGATCCTGACGCGTTCAAGGCAAGGACTTAAGCTGCTAGCCCATGGTGCTGGGCCCACCATAATCTTACAGTTCTGAATTCTGAGTTTTTGTTGTTACCTTATCTCATCTGAATATTCCATCCAGGATTCCATTTTCCTGTCTTTTCAAAATCCTGTATCCTTTAATGGGCAATTCATGTTACTCTTTCAAACAAAATATTTATTTATTTCTATTGGAAAATCAGATATACAGAGAAGGAGAGATAGAGTGGAAGATCTTTCATCCAATGATTCACTCCCTAAGTGGCTGACATGGCTGCAGCTGGGCTAATCCAAAGCCAGGAGCCATGAGCCTCCTCTGGGCCTCCCTCGTGAGTACAGAGAGAGTCCCAAGGCTTTGGGCCATTCTCGACTGCTTTCACAGGCTATAAGCAGGCAGCTGGATGGGAAGCAGAGCCACCAGGATTAGAACTGGCACCCATATGGGATCCTGGCACATGCCAGGTGAGGACTTTAGCTGCTAGGCTACCACGCCGGGCCCCAAGTTATACTTTTTAAAAGACGTATTTATTGGAAAAGCACAGTAACACACATGCATGCACACAGACACAGATATTTCATCTGTTGGTTCACTCCGCAAGTAGCTACAACGTCCGGAGTTAGGTCATTGTGAAGCCAGAAGCCAGGTGCTCCTTCCAGGTCTCTCAGATGAGTGCAGAGGCCCAAGGACCCAGGCCCTCCTCCACTGCTTTGCCAAGTATATTAGCAGGGAGTTTGATCCAAAGTGGAGCAACCAGAACCGTAACTGATGCCCACATGTGATGCCAGTGCTGCAGGCAGAGACTTAACCTGAATACTTGGGTGTTACACTTTCCACTTAAAATATCTCCTCCTGGAGCCTGGCACGGTAGCCTAGTGGCTAAAGTCCTCACCTTGCACACCCTGGGACCTCATAACGGCACTGGCTCTAATCCTGGCAGCCCCACTTCCTATCCAGCTCCCTGTTTGTGGCCTGGGAAAGCAATCAAAGACAGCACAAAACCTTAGGTCGCTGCACCCACTGGAAGACCTGGAAGAAGTTCCTGGCTCCTGGCTTCAGATCAGCTCAGCTCTGGCGTTTGCAACCACTTGGGGAGTGAATCAGCAGACAGAAGATCTTCTTCTCTGTCTCTCTTCCTCTCTGTATGATTTTCCAATAAAAATAAATCTTTTAAAAAATCCTCTTTATTCTACCATGACATTCTTCTTATACCACAGCACTTAGATTTTATTGATTAAACACTATTTTGTTGCTCTGAATTGTTTGATATATATGGCAATCTGCTACTACAAACAGATGACAGGTTCTTTAAATACCAAGTCATGACTTTAATTTCTCGGGAACATGCCACAAAGCCTAGCTACTAGGTTATATACCACTGGAATGCTCAGCTAGTATGTGTTGTTTGAAATTCTCAAGCTAAAGCTCACTCTAAAAAAAAATTTAAAGTTTGATCTCTGATAGGTAAAAAACTGAAATATGGTACTTGTAGACATTCCAAAAATACAGCCATCGCTTTGTCCAGTTCTGTTGTCTACACTACTCTTAGGTTGAGTTTGTGATAGTAGACAGCCTCTCTTAAATCCCTGCATTTATCTAAACACTTTTTCATTTTACAAAAAATAAAGGAGAAAAAGACAACAATACCAGAATTGGGACAAAACTTATTTAAATTAATTCTTAAAATACTGTATGTAAGAGAAGGTGTTTTTAATAAATGTACAGCAGATAATAGGCCAGAAATTCTATATGTTTAAATAAATGTACTCTCTATAGAAAATTTCTGTTCAGAGACAATCACCTGAAACTCATCATAATAAACACAGACATCAAAACCTCTGGGAGGGCCTGGCACCATGGGCTAGTGGCTGAAGTCCTCACCTTGAACACCCCAGGATCCCATATGGGCACCGGTTCTAATCCCGGCAGTTCCACTTCCCATACAGCTCCCTGCTTGTGGCCTGGGAAAGCAGTTGGGACCCTGCACCCGTGTGGGATAATCGGAAGAAGTCCCTGGATCCTGGCTTCGGATTGGCATAGCATCGGCCATTGTGGTCACTTGGGGAGTGAATCATCGGACGGAAGATCTTCCTCTCTGTCTCTCCTTCTCTCTGTATATCTGACTTTCCAATAAATAAATAAATCTTTAAAAAAAATACCTACTCTGTTATTAAAAAAAAATACTGGTTGAGCGTGCCTGAGTTAGAGTACCAGCTCCAGTTCCCAATTTCAGTTTCCTCCAGTGCAGACTGTAGGAGACAGCACTGATGACTTAAGCAACTGGGCCCATAGCACCCATATGGAAGAGCTTAACTGAGTTCCTGATTATAGGCTCCAGGCTGGCCTTTGTGGGTATTTGGGGAGTCAGCCAGTAGATGAGGAGCTCTCTCTGTTTTGTCCATCTGTGTTTCCCTTCCTGTCTCTCTGCCTGTTGAAAAAAAGAACACACACAAGGAACTAATGTTTGTGAAATGTAAAAGGTATATAGTTGGATGATAAGGTAGCAAAGACGATACAAAGATAGAAATATCCTAAATAATTTATTATTTGAAAGGGACAGATGGGGACCGGGAGGGAGAGAGGTATGAAGGGAAAGACAGAAGAAGATAAAAAAGTGAAGAAGAAAGAGGGACAGAGAGAAAGGAGGGAGGAGCAATCTTCCATCTGCTGCCTCACCCTCCAAATGCCTACAATATGTAGGCTGAGCCAGGCTGAAGCCAGGAGACTGGAATTCAATTTGGATACCACAGATAGCATGGTAGGACTCAGATACAGGAGTCATCCATCATCTGGTGCCTCCCAGGGTGTTCATATGTAAGAAGCTGGCTCACAAGTAGCCAGGACTCAAATCAGGAACCCAGAAATGGGATGACAGCGTCCCAAGCAGAGACTAAATCACTTTTAACATCAAACACATGAATTTTATAAATCTTAACTGTTTAGGTAATCACCAGAAATTCATGATTCCTTTTAATCAAGACAAAAAGAATGAGCTCTGAGACATTTGTTACATTGGTATCTTTCATAATTTTTCATCCATGTATCCCTTGCAAGTGTACAGAGAGGATCTCATAATACTTAATGGAAAAAGAAATGATTAGCCTGCTCCTCTCCAACAATCTTAAAATTATGTCAGACCTGGTTGTAACAATGCCTTTTTTCATCTCCTGAAAATATCCCTTCTAGATAGTCTCAGTCCATTCCTCTCTGATTCTTAACTCTTTTTTCTTCCCTACTAGATCTAGACACTTTGAAGAAAGTCCACATTTCTTGTTGATCTAATGCTTTTCTCTGAATCTATTCACTGAAATCAAGAAAAATATGTTCCACGTTTCTTGTTGATCTAATGCTTTTCTCTGAATCTATTCACTGAAATCAAGAAAAATATGTTGTAACCACCCGCAGACTGCTTTAAACTGCCTTTACATACTCAAGAGACTCACTCACCTTTGTTAAAATCAATTTCAAGGCTCTTTGTTTTACCAGAAATATTTTATCAAATGATTTATGTTCTATTATTTCTAATAGTAGAGTCTGTTAGCAGTTGGACTTCATATATCAAGCAAGCTTTAATTTAAAGAACTAATTTTCTCTCTAATCTAGGCAAATACAATTGAAGTAATTCTAAACTAACTTAATCTGGCTCATTTTTAGAGATGCTTTTAGAGGATCTAAGAGAACACAATTCTATCTGAACAATCAGAAGCACCTTGGGTTGGAAGTGACTCACCGATACTCCTTGGTGTACTCAAAGTCTTGTTTGTTGTATGCAGGCTTTAGGAAATTGCACTCAATGACTCCAATTACTCCTACACCTTCTCCACGAGTTGGCTTAGAAAAAAATATTAATTTCAACACTCACATTATTGTTGACTGCCTGGAGGCATTTCCTTTAGATTCCAAACAATAAGAGAAAGGTTACATAATGCTCATGGGCAAATAAAGGCCATTAAGATCTAGAGAAACACAATATATTTCAATAGACTACATATATTACCTTGAACTGAAAACCAGTAAATTTGAGGGCAAAGACATTCAAAATCTGATCCATAGAGCCTGTGGATTCTTAAGGGATTAATGGACATTTCTACTTTACTCACACTGCTACCACTTTCAAGTCTCCTTCATATTCCAGGATTGTCTTAAGATTTTACTTGAGGGGGTTAGCACTATGGCATAGCAGGGAAGCCTCTGCCTAAGGCACTGGCATCCTATAAGCACACTGGTTCAAGGGCCAATGGCTCCACCTTAGAATCTAGCTCCAGGCTAATGGCCTGGGAAAGCAGCAGAGGATGGTTCAAGTCCTTGAGCCCCTGCCCCATTTGGGAGACCTGTAAGAAGCTCCTGGCTCTTGACTTTGGACCAGCCCAGCTCTGGATACTGCAGCCATTTGGGGACCAGTACTGCAGCAGATGGAAGACCTCTGTCTGTCTGTCTCTCCTCTCTCTGTAACTTTGCCTTGCAAATGGAAACAAATAAGTATTTTATAAGGATTTTATTTGAATAAAGATTTACACTTTTCTGGGCAGGTCTTTGGCCACTATAACGGTAAAGACACCCATGTCCCATGTGGAGTCCCTGGGTTCGACACGTGCCTCTGACTCCTGACTCCAGCTTCTTGCTAATAATGCAGATCCTGGAAGGTAGCAGTGATAAATCAAATAATTGGAATTCGACCATTCTGTCATTCAGGTACAAAACTTGGATTGAGTTCCTGGCCCCCAGTATAGGACTCAACTTCAGTTCAGCTGTTATGGGAATTTGTACAGTGAAGGAGAGGAAGCTAGCTCTCCAGCGTGCTCTCTCTTGTCCCATAAATACATTCAGGTATCTCTTTCTATAGCTCATTTAAAAAAATTTTTAAAGTATTAAAAATTTTTAAAGTATTAAAAATGAAGGTTTATACTACCATTCTAGGAACTGAAACTTTATCTGAAAAAAATAAGAATGCTGTGTAATATCATATCGTATCTATGAAAATAAACAGTTTTTCTACATATACAGGTAACTAAAAAGAGTCAGACTTCCAGCAACTTTTAGTTATAAGTTGATGCAGCAGGCTTTAGGATTTAAAATATTTTTTTTTCTTTAATGAAAGGAACCACATCATGATATAATTGAAATGTCATACAAGCATAAATTACTTATAGATCATATGTCAAGAAAGAAAACAAAACAGGCTGAAAATTAGCTCTCCTGGGCCTTATACTCATAAAACTTATCTTCCTACACACTATATAAAGCAGCTGGCCATTCTTTGTGCTTTAGCATCTTATCTGTGAAACAGAAATGATAGGAATACTAGTGGAAATCACAACATCAAATTGTCATTAAAGATCTTGTCAATATTTGCATAGTTTTATTTACAAATTATTTTCACATAATTTATCTTATTTCAATCTCTCAATCTCTACAAGTCATAGTATAGGTAATACAGGAAATATTGTTGTTTTCATTTTCTAGGTAAAGGAATTGAGCCTCAGGGAAATTAAAAGATTTCTCCAAGGGCACAGCTTAGAAATAGAAAATCCAGGACCCAAATATTGGGTCTTCAATCACCAATTTTTATGTGCTTTACAATTATGCTTTATGGATTTCCTAAGAAAATGAAAAGAAACACTTTAGACACTTATAAAGCCATAACACAAGGTGAAGTTGCTACTGTTTTAATTCTATCTCCTATTAATAGGTACCTAGAAAATGTACTCAGTTAAATTCCTGGGTTTATTAACACCTGCAAAGAATGAAAGGTAGATAGTTTTTCGATGCAAGATAGCTCCCTGATAAGACAGACTTCTAGAATCAGGATTTAATAAGTATGATATGAGATTAAAAAAAAAAAAACCACTAGTAATCTATCCCCTTCGTGTGTGTGTGTGTACATATTTATTTATTTATATGTATAATTCTCTCTTCCTACTCTTTTTAGTCCCATATAATAAAGAAACATTAATACTCACCTTCACCTGGCATCCCACCTTTTCAAAGCACTTTATGAGTCGATTGTTGTGATACATCATTATTCCAAACTGGTTACTATTCTTGCAGGAGAACCCAAAAGTGATTCTCACTTGCTTATTCTGAGAAGAAAATCATTAAGGAGACAAACACCCGGGAGCTCAGCAGACATTAAAGTATAAGAAACATCAAACCTTTCTACAGGGCATTCAAAAAATATACTTCATCTCTGTCCATGTAATCGTATTTTCAGGAATTTATCCCATGGAAAGTCAGGGATGTTCACAAAGGTTTATTATTAGTTAGAGATGTTTTTCCCTTATTAGGTATAGTAGCTGAAAAAACATAATTTAAATATTTGGCAATATGAGACTAATTAAATAAATGTTAGTACCCCATGTGGTCTATTCTGTCACTCTTCAAATTATGTCCTTGAATATACTTGAGAACATCAATAAATGCTCACAATATAATAAAAAGTATTATCATCTGTATTGTAATATATGTCATCAGCATAGAAAAGACTGTAAAAAATAACAAAATATCATTAATGATTCCAAAATCCCTAAGTAACAACAAACCATTTCTTATGACTGCTGTTAATTACTCAGTTTGTTGATAGAGCTCACAGGATTTGATAAGCCTGTAAATGATATAATAGAAATCTGTACACGTATAGGCAATAAGTTAATTTGTGCTAACCACATGAAACACAGTTAAAGCAAAACCAAGGACAAAAATTCCTATGAAACCTAAAGGACAGCAACCAGTCTTGTGTTTATAAGTTTTACAGAGAAGTTAATGAATTTGGGTATTTAAAATTAAACGAACTAATGATTAAATATTTAATTGTTAATTTAGGAGTATAAAGAGTACTATTCAAAAACCAAGAGAGTAAGAAAGATAAAATGGAAACCAATAAACAGACTTTTCATTAAAACAGTATGAAATCTTAATGTCAACCCGAGTTGAATGAAAACTTCTGCTACTTATTTTTAAAAAATGATCTTCATTGTTCCTTCCAAATGACAAGCTACTTGAATAAACAGCATGACAAATAGTTCAAGTACGATACAAATATACATACACACACACACACACACACACATATGTGATTTTTGGCTCAGAGCATGTAATTCAGGGGTGGGGAACCTTTTTTTCTGCCAAGGGCCATCTGGATATTTACAGTATCAATCAACTTGAAAATTAGCCCGTTACTGATTTATTGAATTTTGAGTCCTGTCTGTTGTTGCCTTGGCAGGGCCAGACCAAAAGATTTTGCCGGCCTTATACAGCCCACAGGCCAGACATTGCCCACCCACAGTTGGTTATGTTCTGGGTTTCAGAAGCTCAACTTCAAATAAAACTGTTCCAATTTTGAAACCAAGACAAGACAAAATTTCCCCAAAGAAAAACCAACATCATACACCATAAAACTAAAATTGCTAAAATAAAGACTGAAATATTTTCTTTGTATTGTACACTTTTAAAACTGTAAATTAAAGGGTCAGTTGGAGTAGGAAGCTTCCTGAATTAGAAGAAGAAAAAGCAGAAGGAAGAGAAGCTTTTGATAATTGAGGGATAAATTTCAATATCAATAATTTTGTACTTCAGTGACCTTGATGAAACCTTAGTAGTTTCCTTTACTCATGGCTACAGTGATTCCATTTAGCCCAGGTTCTAAAATTGGAAAGTAATTGGTTTAATCAGAAAGGGTGCTGAGAAGAGTTGAGGTACATACGGAATGCATGTATGCAAGCTGTGCTGACAGAAACCACAGAAGGAAAAAGTAGTGTATCCTAAAATGGTAGATGGAATGTACTGCTTTAAACTGGGCCTGGTAAACCTACAACACTCAGATCCTACACTATGTTAGATGATTTTATAATTAATTGACCTACAAGATGTTAATAATGCTAGCTTTGGCTTTGGTAAATTAGGTCTGTTAAGAGCTTTTCTAAATATGCTTCTTAGTAGACAAAGTATGTATTACCAAAAGGAGAAAACTGACTTGGTCATGTGACAACACTTAAAAATTATAGCATGGCAATTTCTAATTAGCAATCAGGGAATAAAAGATAAAGAAGTTAGATAATGCCTTTGATAAAGTAAATAGAGCTTTATAGATGTAGATAAAGCAAATATCCTTGAGTCAAAAATTACTAGAAAATAAATGGGAGGAGTAAGTCTTCATAACTGTACACTTTCAGTCTTTTAATAATTGTGTATTTTGCTCTAAATGCCAACAAAGATGCAAATAATTTCCACAGTTCATCTTGTCATTTTTCTTTAATATCTGAAACCTTCTTCTAAGGCAATGGGTGCGGTAGGGTATATGAAAAGAAGTTTCTGCTCCTCTATGTGGCTGCCTTTAGAAGAGGTATCAGGAAATTCGTGTCAAGCCAGCTAAAGATTCCTTTCACCCTAAAATACAACCTTAAATTCCCACTTTCCCAACTGCCATCAATGACATGTTACAAGAAGCAGCATTCTCATATCCAAAAGATTAACAAGTTGTAGTCAACCTTTTGTTTACGTCAATGTCATAGACCACAAAGTTCCAGTACAAACACATGATACGAATTACTTCTTATTGCAGGCAGTTTCAAACCCAATTGTTCATTGGAATCAGCTTTATTTAAAAAGATTTCAGAGTCAGGAATTTCATCTAATGCTTAGGATGCTGGTTAAGTTACTTGTGTTCTGGATTGGATTTTGATTCCTGCCAACAGCTCCAATTCCAGCTTCCTGCCACTGCATACTCTGAGAAGAAGTTGTAATGGCTCAAGCAATTGGGTCCCTGCCATCCACATGGGAAGCCTGAGTTGAATTCCTGGCTCCAGGCTGCAACCTCTTCCCACCCAGGACATCTCAGGCATTTGAGCAGTTAACTAGCAGATTACAAAACTTTCTCTTGATCTCTCTCTCTCTCTGCCTCTTGAATAAATATAATTTTAAAAACTGATATAAATGTTTCAAGATCCACTGAACCAAGATCTACAAAATCTCAAGCCTTTGTTATTCTAAAAGTTTCCATGTGATTTCTCATAAAAACTAGTGCACAGACTGGCATTTAAGAAATACTTTCTGTAGCTGATTTTGTGGCATAACACGTAAAGCTGCTGCCTGGGATGTCAGCATCTCATATGAGTACTGGTTCATATCCCAACTGCTCCACTTCCAATCCAGCTCCCTGCTAATGGATAAAGCAGTAAAAGATAGCCCAACCACTTGGGCCCTTGACACTGATGTGGAAGACTCAGATGAACCTCCTGGCTCCTGGCTTCAGCCTGGTCTATCTGGGGAGTGAACTAGTAAGTAGATGAATCTCTGTAACTCGGCCTTTCCACTAAATAACTGAACCTTTGACAAAAATACTTTGAGTACACTCACACAATTTGTACTATAACACACATAATTTTCATGAGAAAAGGAAGTTTTTTTTAATTCTGTGCCAATCTGGAAACTGAATCATGCAACGAAAAAGTCAGGTACATATTGTTGTAAGGATACTGTGAAGGTAGGCTTATATATGTCATATCCTACATTGGCCAGGCTCTTGGCAATCAACTGTGTAGTCACCTTCTTTTGACGTAGAAAAATTTTCATTCGTGGTTTCATATACAGAACACCACAAAATGCCTATGGAACAGTGAAAGGCAAGTTATTATGTGGCATTTCCCATTCTATTAACTTCCCCATAATACACAGCCAGCAACTGAAACATATTCTGGGCAAAGATACCTTGTTTCTATACCTTGTTATACTACATCAACTAGCACATTAAAATACTGCTGACCAAACTGGCTGAACTATTTCAATGGAGACAGTGAAAAAGAATTCTAGTACAGGGTGAAAAACTTGCCATCTTTACATAACTAAAACCAGAGCTTGTTCTGTAAGATTTTCATGTTGTAGATCTTACCTCCAATTGGCGCAGAAACCTCAGTCTTACTCACCCGTAAAGAATACTCTGTTTCTGGCAGCTCAGAGGCAACATCACCAGTCTCTTTCTCTTCTGCGTCAAAGTCTGATACCAGGATATCATACTGATCTGTATCAAAGTCCAACTCAGACTTCCCATCTTTATTTCTGGGTAAAAGAGACAAGTACCAAGCTAACAAAAACTGGCTCCAAAGGACAAAAATGCACTAGGAACCCAACAGAAAAGGAATTATATGAGTCAAAACTCGGGTACCTGTATCTTTTACTGACCAACAGCGCAAAGGAACAGCCAACCAAATGGTTTAAAGATCGCACAATATTGAGGGATATTTCCAATCTAAACAAATCTCCTATGCTTCATAAAGGCAGTGATGCCAACTTCACAAGGAAATAAAAAGAAAAGGAATGTGCAATGTGATCTGATAAATCAGATGGACGTCAGCTATCTCCCAAAGTAGGATCTTAAAATAGATCGTAACTTTCTGGGTATTACTGGAGAAGTCATTTAATACCACTTTCCCTAATTGATTGAAAGGATGAACCAAAGCCTACTTGTACAAATTTCAGCAATAATATAAGGATTAATGAGATGCCAAGATTTAACTTTTTTTTTCAGAGGTGGCGGGGGGGGGGGAAGATTGTTAGATAAATGCCATATATTGGTTCTGGCTTTGTGGTGAAAAATTAAGCTGTTACCTGCAACACTGGCATCCTGTATCAGAGTACCTGTTCGAGTCCTGGCTGCTCCATTTCAAATCCAGCTACCTGCCACCATGCCTAGAAAGGTAACTGTGGATGGCCAGAGTACTTGGACCACTGCCACCAAATGGGACATCCAGATGGATTTTCTGGCTCCTGGTTTCAGCATAACCCAGCACTTGCTGGTGTAGCCACGTGGGGAGTGAACCAGCAAATGAAAGCTCTTCTCTCTCTTTCTCTCTATCTCTCCCCTTTTCTGTTAACTCGATTGAAAAAACAAATCTTGGGTTTTTTTTAAAGAATAGTATATATTTACTATGCTTCTAAATACCATTTATGTACTTATCAATTAAATACAATAGTGTCAATATTTCTTTCACAAAGACACCTCTTCCCTTAATCTTTCTCAATCACTTAGCTTTGGTTAATTCCAAGATCCTGGAATAAATCACTAATCACTGCCATAGAGAAAAAAAAAAAACATAAGATTCACTTTTGTTCCTAGAAAAAAAAAAATTGAACAAATGATATGTCATGAAGAAAATCCGCAAATTGGAACAAAGGTTACTAAAATTTGTTCTGTGGAACAATAGCCCCTCAAGACACTCTTAAATAATACATAGGCAGGTGTGTGTATGTTTATCAAATACAATTGAGAAAAATTCTTAGCCCTCAGAGTCACCTCAAGATCTTCTAGTGATTTCTCCTTCAACCTGCAGACGTCAAACTCACAGCTGCTGTATTGAAGATCTCTCCTTTTATAGAACTGGACCACAGTCACTGTGGCATGTAGTCTGTGTGAAGCCCATGAAACTCACCATCTATTCTGGACTTTTAGGATAAGCTAGATCCACACTACCTCACTCTACCATAATGCATACAGTTACAGGACCTCCCTCCTTCCCCCTTTCCACATCCAAGGAAAAGAGGCCTGGAGATTACTTTTTAAAATTGGGAAAGGTTGCTTTTAAAAATATATTTGTGTATCTAAAGGCACATTGGCCTCTGAAATCCTCCAAGAAGTTCCTGAGTAAAGCAATGTGGTAAGCTTTGTTTAAGGCGGCTTTTCTCAAACTTACTTGACTATGTAACCATTTATTTATAGAACATTTAGGACCATATAACTGAGAAATCACATACGCAGTAAAAACATGTATGTGTATAAAACTCAATGTGTATAAAGCACTAGAAATTCCTCATATGTAATACAAATTAAAATATTCAATGTTTTCCTAGTAGGGCACAGGGAAAAACTATTTAAATTATGAATGCTTAAGCCTGTCTTACTGCTTTCTTTTTATTTGTAAGTACACATATAAACTAGCATTGTTTTTTTTAATCTAAGATTCATCCTGGTAAGAAATGAGACAAAATACTTGACCTAAGGAGAAAAGGAAGAATAAATATATAAATAAGCAAACATACCAGTAACACTTTTAGTTCAAATTAAAGGTTTTAGGTTTTCATGTTTAGAATTTAATACACTTTTAAATGTATTCCATCTGACAAGTCAAGATTAAACAAATGGTAGATCACAGAATATTGCTTTATTAATTCTAAAGACACGATCTTAAACTAACCTCATTATAGTTAAAATGCATCTGCTTCAAAGATTTCTCTACTTCTAATAGTCACTCAAAAAACCCTAATGCGGAAGTCTACTTTTTGAAGATGGTGGTTGTGCTTTGTTATTCTCATTTCTTTTTCTGTCATACTTCATGTCCACTATCAAATACGCAAAACAACTATCATTCACCAACCTCAAAACAATGCCCATGAATGTGAAATACACATTTATAAAGGATCCTGTGGTTCCTGGACAATGATAAACTTTCTTGTTTATTTATGGCAATAGCCTCAGGATATGCATGTCTTCACCTTGAACATTTCACCAACAAGAACTACTGGGTCAAAACAGACCTCCAGTTCTAGCAGAAAGTTACAGAGAAGTATATAAGGAGATAGGCATTTGTGTTAAAAATTTATCTACTTTTCTTCCTCCAAAAGATCTATGAAAATGTGATTCATCACACCACCTTTGCTCATTAGAATACATCACCTCTGGAATACAATACCTGCGCATGTTCCAAATGAGAACACGAGTGCCTTTTTTGCCTGGGATTGCATCAAACTGGGCCAGCAAGTCCTTTTCACTGTTGAAAATCGAATAGTTCAAGATGGCTTCTAAACTGGGCAAGGAATCCTCAGTAATAATCATTCTTTGTAAAACCAAACACAGTCAAAGAAAATTAATATTTTAAGAGGATGCTATCAAGATGGAAGATCTGCCTTTTGAGTTGCATGTTTAGGCAAAAATATGGACATAAAGCACAGGCATTACTGCTACAAAAGAATGAATGGAAGGAAATGAGTAAAAGTGATAGAGACCATACCCAAATCAGATATTTCTACAGATTATAGTTTCGAAGGTATTATATCAACAAAGGCAGTCACAGTCTGATATTCACGCAAAAGATCAAAGTTTAAACTTTTAAACTCTTGGGAAGCAATGACTCAAACTTTACTGCTATAATTGCCCCATCAAATAACTTTGGTGTCTCACAGAAATCACAGCTGGTCCAGATACAAGGAAATGAGATATTCTGTTATGACATAAGCTGATAAATATGGTGATTTTAGGAAGATGAAAACAAATGTAGCTACCCCAAAAGGGGGGGGGGAAAACAGGGGTGCCCTGGGAAATTTACGATGAGTTAAACACATATTGAACAATAAAAAGTTCTATATAGAAAAGGCATTTCTAAGTTTTTGTCAAAGATCTATTTACTTTGTAAGTATTTAATAGAGGAAAATTTCAGTCGATTGGAACACATCTGAATATGTCTTTAAAAATTATGACATATTCAAAATACGAAATACCAAATGATAGCTGATTTTACTCTGAAGTAAGCAGTCCCCTTCAAAGTATTTAAACGAGACTCATTTTAAGCAACATTCTCCACATTCAGAAAGGATATTGTTTTGCTGGTTGAATGGAACAATTGGTACAATAACTGCTTGAGCCTGGACCCGTTCCAGATAGGTCTGTGAGAGCAGTCCGACAGTGAGAGTACTTCCATTCTTGCTGAAGACCAGAACATCCTTTCCTAGCCGCATGGAACCTGACTTGAAACCATTACCAAAGACCCCGATGGGACGATGACTCTTCTTTATTACTTTATCCGTAAAGCCAAAGCTGTAATTGCACAAAGAAAAAAAAATAAATTAGAGAGGTAAAAAGCAATCTAAGATAGGTAGGTGACAGGCAGAATGTTTGGGCTTACAGATAAAGAACGCTGGTAAAGGTCCTCTTTTTTGTTTCCTTTTGGTATTTCTGGTCAGAAACTACTAAGGTAAAAACATATGAAATTATTATGGGGTTATGGGTCAGACTTTCCTGTGTGGTTTGTGTGTACTTATACAGTAGTCTCACAACATTAAAATTACATTTGGATAAAGATTAAGAAGGCCCCCTTTCACTGGGCAACAGAACTAGAGAAAGCCTTGGCCAGTTGCCTTTCTCATCTAGAATAAATGGCTCTGATTTCTAGAAATAATCTTAGTATAAAATGAAAAGGGTAGTTACCTAGAGAGAGTAGCCAAAGTATCAGACAGTAGGACTGGTCAGGCTAATAGACGAGGCATTTCCTCATCTTCTGGAAATATGAACATCAGAGATCATGTATCTTGACGAATTCAACTCTCCACCCAAAAGATGACCCTTCCAATTCTTACCCTCTGCCCCATCTGCCGGGACAGTTCACTGAAATGTGGCCAAGAGATAAAAATAGGTAGTTCTGCCTCTGAAGAGCAGCAAACAGCTGCAGTATACAGTCTCTCTTGTTCTATTAAGGGCCTTTCATCAAAGTCACCTCAACAAACTCTGTAGCTCCTTAGGAGTACATTAATCTGAGAATCAGAACTTTCCGCTTTCTTACATTTCCCATAAAAATACAAACCAAAATAAGAGAACCTAATTAAAAATTTAAGGTAAGAAATCTAGAAAACGATCATCTTCTATCTTCCCTCACCACAAATAAAACCAATTGTAGGGACTGTCTCTCTTCAGAGTGACTAATTTTACAAGGTTGTACACTATTATTCATTCAATAAATATTTATCAAGCAGCTGGTATACGACATGTGCTGTGTTAAACATTGGAGATATAAAGTGCTAACAAAAAGAGACCAAATTCTCACACACTTGGTTAACAAGCTATGGAAGGATTTCATACACTACAGATTAGATGCTTTTCCAATATCAACAACAAAAGACTATATGCCACTATCAAGCATCACGGCCTTGGCTCTCACTGTCTTGAACAGAGAGGACTACTTCTATTTTCACTTCTGAAAGGTTGTGATTTCATGCTTAGCTCATAAGAAAGGGAATTGCCTTTTGATTTTTCTATCTCAGTGTTATACAATCATACCCATTATATCCTTCTAGTTTTCTTTACAGGAGCTTTGTTCAGTCTGCAAATAAATCCAACAACAGAGAAAGGAAATTTCAAGGGCAGTAGACCTTTGAAAAAACTAAAAGAACATTGAGTTCTTGTGCTGTCATTGAGTGCTATACATTGGTAAGTTCAAGATTCAGGCACTGCCATTCTTCTTATGTAAGAACTGGTTGAAAAACATCGGAATATTATTTAACACTTAAATTCTATATCACATGTAAAAGATATTCATTATAAAGTAGTATTCAAAGTTTAATTTTTAAATATTTCTTTATTTTTATTGGAAAGTCAGATATACAGAGTGGAGGAGAGACAGAGAGAAATATCTTATGTCCATTGATTCACTCCCCAAGTGGCTGCAATGGCTGGAGCTGAACCGATCTGAAGCCAGGAGCCGGAGCACTTATGGGTCTCCCACGCAGTTGCAGGGTCCCAAGGCTTTGGGCCGTCTTCAACTGCTTTCCCAGGCCTCAAGCAGGGAGATGGACGGGAAGCAGGGCTGCTGGGACACGAACTGACACCCATATGGGATCCCAGCATGTGCAAGGTGAGGACTTTAGGCACTATGCTACTGTGCTGGGTCCTCAAAATTTAATGTTAAACTAACTCTACAAGTTATTGTGAGAATTGTCATGTGCTGATCTCTACCTGCACTTCAGATTTAATATCACATCCAAAAACTCAGGACTGTTCTTAATCTTACCCACCCTGCAAAATAAATTTGTTTAGTCAAATTATATGCAAATTTTCTCTAATACCACAAACACTTCGATTAGATAGTCAAGGAAAAGTTAAGAAAACCAGAATAATATACTACCTCCTTAATTCCTAGGCCTTTTTTGTCACCTATCACCTCCTTTTTCCTTTCTAAGAATATAAAGCATCATTGTGTTACTTAGATGGGGGAGACCAAATGATTACAAAAAGTTGAAAAGACTAGTGTGGGGCAAGGCCAGAACCAGGATAAAAAGGAATCAAAATAATGAGAAGCTGGAAGCTATGGACATTTTTCAGTTACATTTTACTTAACTCTTCCCATGTGCTCTTTTTTTCCCATCAAGTTCCCATGCTAGATACTGTATTTAACTGTAGATCTGCAAAATGGATGCTACATACCTTCAAACACTACCTAATATAAAAGCCCTTAGCACATAATACAATTACAAGAAGGAATTTAATATAGTTTGATAACAGCTTAATAATTTTCCACAGAGCCATCTTGGCTTAGACAGGTGCTCTCTCTTTTGCTAAGGCAGTTGTGTTCTATTCTGTCACGTAAGAGATGGTGTGTTTACACATCTAGGGGGCTTGGATACCAGCTCTTCGAGCAGAATGCAAGAACAAAACAGCATGTTCATGAGAACCTTAAAATGTCAAAAGTCTAGAATCCAGAGAGGGGAATTAATTTGAACTCTGATTCAATGAAACCAGCCTTATCAAAATCCCATGGACATACAAGGGTACTTCAGATAGTTTGTGGAAAATTAAAATATAAATTTATTGTGACACAAAAATATTTCAAACACATGCATAACTTTTTCATAATATGCATTCCATTAACTTTTTGAGGCCTTTTTATACACGATAAGCACTGTTGTTACCTACATATATTGGTGATGTAATACATCATATAAAGGAATCAAAGACTGTTAAGCATACTGTTATTATCTGGCTGTAGAACAGGTGTGGGGAACTTCTGACCCAAGGGCCACACAAGGCCAATGAAATCATTTGGTCTGGACTTGCCAAAGTCAGCCTGTGCAACGGGACTTAAATTCAATAAATCTATATATCAGGCGCATTCTTAAGCTGACAATTTTGTATTGATTAAAAATCATGTTATAAATATTGCAATGGCAGTATGAAAGTTCCCCACCCCTACCACAGAACAACAAGACTTACTAAGAAATGCACCTCTGAGCAGGAGTAACAAATGGCTTCAATCTGTTGCGCTGAATTTGTTTTAATCCCTGACCTTTGAAAGAAGTTTTCCACCTGCTTAAAAAGGCAGCTGAATATATAACCCAGTAGATTCACATACTACCATCAGCAGCTAAACAGAACTGTGGACTTTAAAGGAATTTAACAATATGCCTTTTAAAAAAATTTGATCTTCATTTGAATCAATGTTGATGGAAGTAACCATTGCTGCAGTTACACAACTATTTTATCAGCCTGAGAAAAAGAGGAGCAGCATAAAGTGTTGTAAAATGTAAACAGGATAACAATGAATGTTATAAGTCAGGTCAAACAGTATTTTGTGAGCTTAATAATTTTGCATAATCACTCCCATTTTTCAAACTATAAAAGTAATGTGTCTTTAAATGTAAAACAGAAAACATACTGAAAAATAATTTTCAAAGCTACCTCTAAATTCAATTATGTAAACAGAGTACAGGAAGCAGAACCCTAAGTTAGGATCAAACTAAAGTATGTTGCGTAAATAAATGGGATCTTTTGGCTGATTCAAATTTGTTGAAGATCCAATCATAAAATTGTAAATATAGTACGTTAATAACACATTCATTAAAACTTTAACTAAAATTAATTTTTAAACAAGGATCCAGCTCAAATTAGTTAATATTATTTGGCACCACAGAGGAAAAATCTATAGTTTAAGAAATTTCTGCCTGTTTAACTTCATGGGGAATACAATTTTGAATTGATGATACTCATCCTTCACATTGCCATTTGTATGTCATTCCCAAAACTAGATTAGCTCCCTCTGTTACATGCTCTCAAAGAAACTGTATTTTTTCCATTATGGCATTTATCCCTTGGTAGAACAGCCTGTTGAGTTACATTGTTAGTCAACTGATATCTTAATCACTGAACTGTCAGTCCTTTAAGAACGAGTGTCATGGCTGTCCGGTTCATCATTTCTTTTCAGATGCCATGCCTATAGGTGCTCATTAGGAATTTGTTGAATGAATAAAAGAATCAGTCTAGAACAAAAATGGTTGCAATTATTTTGAAATCTTGCTCCTCCTCCCTCTTATAACTAGAACCTGGTTTCACGGATACAGTTCTACAAACAAAAATGGAAGGATATCAGATTTTCTGGGCTATTTGATTCCCCTGTCACTGGGATAAGGTGGATATAAGAAAACAAAGGATTTGGGGTGTAAGGGCAGGGGACTGGTACATACAGAATTGTACATATAAATATTTTGATTCCATCTCATCTATGAGCCTCAAGAGATAAAAACTGCTGATGCTGTAAGTTATGGAAAGGGCCAGCTCTCTAACTCTACCAACATACGTGAGCATATTCTTGTCTCACTTATAAAGGCTTTTCCTAAACATTCATGTAATTAGAAGGGTATGAAACACAAGGAATACAGACTGCTGAAAATGAAACATAACCACTTTCTTTGCCTAAACCTCACTTTGTTTATTGGACTAATCCAAGAGACTTCTTATGAGCAGGGACAACTACAACCACCTGCAACTGCTTACCATTTTTATAATTCTGAGCCTCCCCCACAACTCCCTGCCATTGTTACTAGTATTTCTCACATTCTAGCTCAGGAAGCCACAGGAAGGGAAATCAACAGCATCACTGAAAAAAGAAGAGAGAAGGAAACAGTGGAGGAAACACTCATCTTCCACTGAATGATATGTGAAGATAATGAAATACAGACTTAAGAGTCTCGACTTTTAAAGTAATTAAGGGAACTGAAGAATGGCAACAGAAAACTAGCACCAGCTTCACAGTCAGCAAAGAGAATTCCCTAGCCTGGCAACTTAAATCATATGTGTGAATGCCTTCTATCTTGCTTTCACAGGGTTTGAATAAGCAAACACAAGCATCTTCGTGTTTCTAATTCAAAATTGCCCCAACTGCAATGGTCGATGTGGTTGAATCTGATAAAGGAGCTGTGTTATCTGTAAACTGGAAGTCTCAGAAAAATTAAGTTTTCCAGGTCTTCACATTTGCAGTTCTTTTTCCCAAGAACTTTCCTTCCTTGTTTCCTGCACTTCTATCTCATTAAATTCTACTCTCCTGTAGATGTCCGCTTAATCGATATTCCATCCTGGGGCATCTGCCTAACCTATATGGTCAGTTTGGATTCCCTACTGACTCATCTCAACATATCCTGTGCTTTCCTATCGTTACCTGGATCACGTTTTCTTAAAATTATTTGCATAACTCTCTGCATGGCCAGCCTAGACTGTCAGCTCTGTGAGGACAGAAGCAGCAGCTGTAGCAGAACCAGTGCCCTGGCACCCAAGAGGCACTTAAATACTCTGTTGAAAGACTAAGAGACAGAACAATGCAACATCTTGAATGTATTTCATAAAACCAAAATAAGATAAAGAGAATGAAAACATTTTTTACCTCAGCATTCGGTGCAGTCTAAGAGGTGTCATGCCACATCCATCATCAGTAAAGGTTAAACAAGGTTTATCCTTGACCTCCTCAACATCTATAAACACCGTCCTGGCCGATACATCTGGATCTACAGCATTATCTGCAAAAGGTAGAAATCTGTGATATTAGATCCCACTTTCAAACATTTGACCAAAATCTTTTGTCCTGTGTCCCAAGACATGGAAACTATCTTTTATTCCCCTCACGGGTATGTTCCAGATGGTGAGCAGGGAATATTAACAGTCATGTATTTACTGAGCTACAAAGGACAACATGCATGATGGCAGATGTGGTTATGAAGCAGATTTCTAAATTTCATATAATCACCTTTCCTTTCAGGATCTATGCGATGGATCACTATTCCTAGATACAAAGCATTCTGCTCCCACTTTGTCACTTTTTGTCTGTTAAGCAACTTCATTGTGAACACATACAGTAAATAGCAGCTCAAAAGAAAGGCAGAGGCAGTGTTTTTGGTAAAAAGATTCATAGGGCCCTCATCGTCACAAGCTGCCTCCTGAGATGCCAGTATTGCGTATGGGCACCCATTCAAGACCCAGCTGCTCCAACTTACATTCCTTTAGCTGCCAGCTAATGAACTGGGAAAAGCAGTAAAAGACAGCCTAAGTGCTTTGGCCTCTGTAGCCCTAAGGGAGACGCACAAGAAGCTCCTGGCTGCTGGTTTCAGCCTGCACCAGCCCCAGCCATTGATTCATTCTGTGGAATGAACCAGCAGATTAAAGATTCATATTCTCTCTCTCTCGCCTCCTCCCTCTTTCGTCCCCCTCCCTCTTTCTATAATTCTGCCTTTCAAATAAAAAGTAAACCCCTAAAAAGTTCATGTTACACACATTACAGTTTAAGACTTTTTCTTTACATCACTTCCTTTTAATTAACAAAGATATCATCACCATACCTGTTTACAGCCTAAGAGACAGTGAAAGAGTTGGATGTTAAATATCAAAACATTCAACGACCTACCTAAATCCCAGGGATGGTAGTTAGCATGCTTACAGAGGAATACTTCTGATTAATGTTAAATAATAAAGATGAAGCTGTCTTCCCCTGATGAAATGTAGACCATAGAATTAAAGTTTAAAAATATGAAAAGTTTACATGACTCCTCCTGAGTTACATCTATACAATATGTTAATTATTTACGACACCAAAGTTGGGACTGGCCTGTGGTACAGCAAGCTGGACTATCACTTGTGATACTGGAATCCCATATCAGAGCATTGGTTGGAGTCCTGTCTGTTTCACTTCCAATCAAGCTCCTCACTGCTGTGCATGGGAAAGCAGCAGGAGACTGACTCAGGTACTTGGATCCCTACACCCACATAGGATATCTGAATGGAGTTCCTGGTTCCTGATCTCAGTCTGGCCCAGCACTGTTGTAACCATTTGGGAAACAGACCAGTGGGTTTAAGACGTTTTTCCTCTCTCTGTCACTCATGCCTTACAAATCAATCAATCATATTTAAAAATACTCCAAAGTCATAAGTATAGCTACATTCCTAACAACAGCAACACAAACTGACAAATATGTTTCATAATTATTCCTGTCTTTACTGGCTCTTTAAGCAAGAGACTTCAGCTTCTACTTCCCTTCCTTTCCATGGCATCTTAAATTGTATCACTTATTCTATATGGCTGAGATGAGTTTTCCACTGGGAATTTTCTTTACAATCGAGAGAAACATTACATGTGCTGCCATCCATTTTACCATTAACAGTATCAGTTAAATCACATGGATGTGTGGAATGCCCATCAAATCAAACAAGATGGACTAATTTTTAAGAGCCACAAAAGAATTGCCAAAGTCACTGACATAACTGCGACTGACTGTAACCTGCAAGTCTTGGGAGCAGTATGGCTTCACATATAGCCCCATAAGGAAGGTAAAGAAACCTTACACAGTCAATCTTTAATGACCTATTGAGGCCTAAGCCCCATATATGGTGGTGAGATAAGTGGGTTAACTTTTGGCGTGAGTTACAATTATATACCATGCAGTGGTGGCTTTATCAGAAATACATGTCGTTACTTTGTAAGATGCAGTATTTTCCCCTTGAATGATGGAAGGATTTAGCACGGTATAGCCACACACACCTGTTTTCAGACACTTCACTTGGCAAGCAGACCCTGAGCTGTGTTGGCACTTCATAGTCATTCCTACTGATAGACAGCCAAAGCCACTGAGGACACAACACTTGTCTATCAACAGGACTTCATTTATACATTGACAACTTTGGACACAGAAGAACTTTTTTCCAAGGCTTCATGACCATGAACAATTAAAAAACATATCAATTCTAGTTACACATGTATACAACAGTATATTCAACAAATAAGCATGTAGCCCTCCTGAAAAATCACTTGTAACATTTCCTCTTTATTGCAACTTTTACCCAAACTTTGATACATGAATTTTTTATAGGAATACAATAAGCAAATTTAACAGAGGCACTTCAAGAGTTACAAGACACATTCCAGGAGCAGCTAGATATTTTATCTCCTTGGCTGGAAGTTCATGGAGTACCAAAGAGGAGGCACAGGGAGGCCAGGGTCAGGCAAAGAAGCAGGGAGATATCAGCTGGAGAGGCAGGGAGCATGCTGTTTGGCAGGCAGTGGCAAGCAGCACTTTGCACATACTATTAATTTTACATGGTTTTTCACCTAGCCTCAACAAATGAAATTACAATAATAATGAAGTTGACCTCAACAATGAATTTACAATAAGGCACCAATCTGGTGACTAGTTTCAATCCTACTTCTTGCTGCTTAACTCTCCCAAAAGTTGCCAGCAAGTAACATGTGCTACCATATCCCAGGAAATCTATCCTCTCCCCCCAGGCCAGCTCAAGCTGCCTAGAAACATGTAGAACAACAAGAGAACCCTTACTCCTCTCCTGCCACCTCCCCCCTAGATTAGACTAGCACCTACACTACTGGATTCTGGAGTTTTCATTCCCCTTAAACAGGGTGCACTATCCCATGTGCTACCAGATCCTGGCAAGTTTTATCTGTCCCAAACCTGGACCACACCTATTCCTTAGAGGAAAGATTTTCTCTAAATTCCTCTGACTCACCACTTAAGCAAGAGCACAGGATTCCTGCGGGAATCTCTTTTACCCTCTACCTTGCTCTATTGTGCTGGTCCCCATGTAGAAACCAAGTTAGAGGGTAAGATGGATTCCCAACTCTTGTCTTTCTACACACCATTGTGACTGAAGCTTCATACCTCAACAGAACCTAGAAGGCAATTGAGAAATTACTCGGTAACAGCCTCTCAAGAAATACTAGAGGGTGAATGAGACATGGCTTTCAGGTGGTGTGTGTGTGAACATTCGAATGACCACAAGTTTGAAATGTAAAAGCTTTTTTGTTTGTTTGTTTTAATTCTTTCCTCTCCGCTGTCCTACACATCACCAGGCTCTTTCTTTCATGTGTTAGCTTTTCCTTCTGTCATTGTCTTAGCTTTACAGGGCTTATTTCTTCTCAAATGAGCTATTGTGATCAAACCTAACTAGCCTTTGCAATCCACATCTCTCTTCAATTCGCCTTACCCACAGCTGCAAGATTAATTCTCCTGAAGTTCTGACCATGACATTCCCTTGCTCAGAAAACTTCCCAATAATAAAGAGCCAAATACCACAGCTTCCTAGTCACATTCTGGTCCGAGTTCACCTTTCTAATCTCAGTTCCTACTGCTACTTGGAGTAAAAAAACACCAACATTTGAGCCCTGGATTTGACACTTAATACATATATAGCTTTGGAAAAGTCACTTAAACTCTCCGAACCTCTGCTTCCTTATTTACAGGGTAGAAAAATAGTTTTCTCTGCAATGGTAAAGTGAAAAGGCACTTGTGAAAATTTTTTGTAACCCTTCGAAGACAGGTAGATTTTCCTTTTTAATTTGTGAAACCCATGTTCCGATTAAATTCAGTGTTCCTAAGGCCTGTGTGCCCCCCTCATACGCACATGTCCCAATCCTTCAAGTCTCAGAGCTCACATATCCCCTCTTCCAGAAAGGCTTCCCTCACCCTCCTCTTCCTGGTATACTGAAAGACATAGTTCTTCCCCTTGAACTCCCACAGCATGTGGATGTATCTTCATTGACCATTTTCCACTTGGTTGTTACATAAAGCACCGACTTCTGTACATGTTTTATCTCCCTTACTGTAACAGTCGATCTATGTTGTATTCATTTTTGTACCTAGCACTGTGGCCTGTGTGCAGTGGGCGCTCGATAAATATTTATCAAATGAATAATTCACGAGAAGATTAATGCAAAAATGTTGAAGGAAAATACAAAACGAAGGCTCTAGCTCACCAGTTAACACTTTGTTTACCCACCAACAGCTGTGATTCAGTTTTAACATTTGTGTCTGTACATAAGGTTGCCTGCATGCGTGTGTACGTCTGAAATATAGAGATGGACTCACAACTCAAGACTGGAAGTGTTTTGCTTAGGCCTAGGATCTTTCTGTTAGTCCTTACAATGAAAATCATGCACAAGTCAAAACTTCAAATTCACAACTCCTTTAATCACCTGTACAATATGCACAGCACTGCACAGGTAAACGGGTTTGGTGAGGTCTAACTGCGCAGGCACAACACCTTTCTATTTCTCAGTACATTGTTAAACTTTTTTTTTTTTTTGGTCTTTTTTCCTAAGTTCTAAGCACATGAGTTTGGGCTCATTCTGCAGAGGTGCAGTGGAGCTATTAGTCTCTGTTTTCTGAGTTTCCAAAGTCACCAGTGTCACTTTTCCCCCTGCCCTTTTCTAATTACAGCAGCTAGCACCAAAAGCATACAATATCGTCACGCCATGGGCACTACAGTCAAACGAATCCTCCAAGTTTTCAGCACCTTCCAAGTAATTCTTTTGACTTTATCTCCTCCAGTTGCCCACCAACTTCTTCACCAGGATAGCTCTGATGCCAAGGTCCAAGTGCCTTCTTAAGCAGCACCTGGGACGCCTTTGGGGAACTTTGAAACCATTTTTAGGCTTTTGTTCTGTTTCACCTTGCCCCATGAATACCTTCCTTGGGTCCATTTCTGAAGTATTTATAATGAGCTCTGCAGTCAGTTACATTTTGTGTAGTGTTGCTTTTCTGCCTTGCTTTCCATACACACTACACAACACATCGCTGCTAAAGCCGGCTTTGAGGGGTCAAGCTTTAAAAGCCAAACTCGAAGGGAGGGAGAGGTGAAGTTCTCTGTGTTCATTCCAGCGGTGTGAGGGCGCTCGTGGACCACAGAGCAGGCCCTTTGCAGTTGCAAGGAGCCAAATGCACTCGTGTCATCTCTTTAGAGATGTCCCATCATTCCTAGACTTTCTTGTCTTGAAAAGTTCAAGCACTGCGCTCTGTGGAACCTTCCCCATGTCTCTACCTGCTCCTCTACAACGGACGGACGCGTAATTTGGCATCCATCGCCACCCCTATGGAGCCCAGCGGCCTCAGGAGGCGATATTTTAACAGATCTCCTCCTCCTGCCTACAGACTAAGCTATCCTGCAGTGCCCGGAACATCCCAAGCCAGAAAGAAAAACAAACAAACAAAACCCAAAAATCAATAACAACAGCAACAACAACAAAACACCCGGGAATCCTAACTTTTAAAACACACCTAGCTTGCATTGGTTTGGGTCGCTGCATCTCGTTCCCCGGCGAGAGCCCTGCTGCTCCGGGCGTCTGAGGGAGCTGGGGCGGGTCCCCAGGCCCCCACTCCAATGCCGGCCCACCCCGCGTGTGCTCGGCGCCTTGCTCTAGCGTTCGCAGCACCACGCTGGCACCCCTGCCTCTGGCCACTGCGGCCGGCTTCACCCTCGCCACTCACCTAGCAGCTCTGCGATGGCACTGAAGGGTCGCGTGTGGCTGCTGGAGTTGCTCTGTAGGTAGCGGGGGCTCATCTGGGGGCGAGAGAAGGTCCCGTCCCGCGTGAGGCCTCGGCCCGCCGAGCCCTCCCCACGCGCGCCCCGCAGCCCCGGGACCCCCGGAGGACGCGCGCGCCTTCGCCCTTCGGGGAACTCCCCCCCGCCATTCCGCCACACACACACACACACACACACACACACACACACACACACACACACACACACACACACACACACACACACACACACACACACCCCGACCTACCGTGCTCAGGCGGATCCCCAAGGCCTGCGGGGCGCTGCCCGGCCGAGCCAGCCCGCCACCGGGAGCTCCAGGGCCCGCGGAGGCCCCTCGGGACAGGAGCATTTTTTTGGCCGCCACGGTACTAGCTGGTTGCCGGCGGACTCCTCGCCCGGCCGTCCCGGAGCAGCGCTAGCTCACTCCCGCTCGCAGCAAGCGGCGGCCGTCTGAGACTGGCCCTCCCTCGCTCCCACCCGCAGCTGGCGGAGGCGGGGCGCGCTCCAGCCACCTGTCTCTGGCGGGAGGGGGGGAGGCCGGCGGCGGCGAGCGGCGGCCCCGCCCTGTCAGCACCTCTCCCGACCCGAGCACTGGCCGGGGCCGCCCCAGGGCCGTACAGAAATATGGCGACCTCCTGACAGCCGCTCCTTGATCCCCGCCCCTAATTAATTCTTGCCGTTTGCCATAGGCCAGGCCGCCGAGCGGGAAAGCGCGCGGGGTGGTGGTGGTGGTGGGGAGTGCTGGGGGGGGGGGGGGGGCTTTGCGGCGGGCGCGTGGGGAGGGGCGGGAATGAGGCCAGAAGAGGGAGAGGGTGTATGGCATTTCTGAGTCCCGCTTAGGCTGCATGACTAACGGGGCAGGATAAGACAAGTCTTTCAAGTTCTGAGGACTACAGTTTTGCTATCTGAGGAGATAGCAGGCATAAGCGATGGGGAAAGGGTTCGGATTACTCAACCACAAATGTATCTAGAGGCATCCAGAACTTTCTGGAATGCAGTTGGCAAACTACCTACACTGCCTTGCAAGCCTGCTGGGAGCATGTTTATAAAAGAAGCAGATTCATTTGCATATCATACTGCCAAATAGGAAATTTAAGTTATGGAGTAGCCACAAAAGAAAACACTATTCAGTTCTTAAACCCATGTGTTAGATGAGTATTTAATTGTTCATCTAACACCTTATGGTTCTACACATGTGTGGAGTACAATGAGATATTTGCGTACATGTATGCATTGTGTATTACTAAAATCAAGGTCTTTAGTACATCCATCATCTGCCTCCTGTGTTTATCATTTGCTTTTGATGAAAGCATTAAAGGAAGCAAAACAAAACAAAAAAAATCACCTCTCTGCTTGCCACCACGTGGAAGTAGGCTAATCTTCCCTTTCAGGCGCCTGCATTCTACAGGGGCACTGGCAGTCTGCTCCACTTCCCATCCAGCTCCCTGCTTGTGGCCTGGGAAAGTAGCAGAGGATGGTGCAAATCCTTGGGCCCTGCACCCACTTAGAAGAGCTGGAAGAAACTGCAGGCTCCTGGCTTTGGTTCAGCTCAGCTCCAGCTGTTGTAGTTATTTGCGGAGTGAACCAGTAGATGCAAGCTCCCTCTCCTTTTCTCTGTAACTCTGCCATTTGAATAAAAAAAATCTTAAAAGCTCTCTTCCAGCTGTTTGAAACATGAGGGTACTGCAAAGAGTTTGTATAAAATGCAATTAAAAGGTCAGCTTGTCTTAGTTTTTCACATTATGCAATTACCACAAACTTGTTGAAGATTCTTGGATTCATGAATATCAAAATCTTTTACATGAAAATAAACTTAGTTTTTATTCCATTTGCCACAAAGTTCTTGAAGTACCCACATTTACAGTGTCTTATTAAGTTATGGTGACTCACCTGTGCAATAGAACATCATTGGTACCTTCTCCCATCCTCCCCTCCCCCACTCCATCCCATCCCCAGCCTTTGGTAAGCTCTATTCTACTCTCTACTTCTAGAAAATCAGTGTTTTCCAGATTCCAAAGCATATGACATGAGGTCATACGTTGTTTGGCTTTCTGTATTTGACTTATTCATTATGTCATCCAAGTCTGTCTGCGTCACAAGGGATAGGATTTCATTCCCACTTAGGGCTGAACAGACCATTCATCTGTTGTTGGGTAGTTAGAGTGATTGCAAGTCTTGGTTTTTGCTGATAGTGTCACAATTAACGTAGGAATACAGACATCCTTTGGCAGATTGATTTCATTTCCTTTGGCTATATCTGTAAGGAGTGTGATTGCTGGATCATAAGGTAGTCTGTTTTTAATTTTTTGAGGTCCCTTCATTCTGTTTTCCACAAATGATCATGCTCATTTTCAGTCCCATCAACAATGTGTAAGGGTTTCTTTTTCTCCACAAGCACATCTATTTACGATCATTTCTTTTCAGTGATACTCATTCTAAAGTTAAGTGAGGGGGTGTCTCACTGTAGTTTCAATCTATCAAATGGTTTTCTTAAAATATGCCTGTTAGCCTTTTGTTTAATCTTCTCCTAAGAAATGTTTATTAAATTTTTTTGCCTACTTTTTTTTAAAGCTTATTTATTTGAAAGGCCAAGTTAGAGAGAAAGAAAGAGTCCACTGGTTCATTCCCTAAATGGCCACAATGGCTAAAGATGAGTCAGGCCAAAGCCAGGAGCCTCGAATTCCATCTAGGTCTCCCATGAAGGTTTCAGGGACCAAATGCTTGGGCCATCTGCTGCTGCTTATATGGGATACTGGTGTTGCAGGTGGCAGATTAACTCCCTGCATCAAAATGTCAGTTCCTTTTTTTCTCATTTTTAAATGAAGTTGTTTTTTTTGTTTGTTTGTTTTGTTTTTGCTTTTTAGTGGTTTCTTCTATATTCTGGACAATAACCTCCAGATGAATGTTTATTGACGTGCAAAAATGACTGTAAGACAAGAGGTTAAAACATGTTGCATAATTTGAAACTTTTTAACTAGAAAAGCAAGAGTAAATGTATGCACATATATGTACATATATGTGATTACATATACACAAATGTTTATGAAGAATCTTGGAAAAGTTCATAGCAAATGCATGTTGTGAAAAATGCTTGCATGGATTTCAATTTTTTTTCACCAAAATTAGTTACCTTTCAGTTTCATTTTTCCCGTGAACTTTTTGAAGCAACCTTATAACTACATCCATAGAAACATATAACAGCTTGTCTTCCCTTTCTCTTAATAACACAAAGCACTGCCTCAGACACACACTTGTACAGGTCATTAATTTCTGGTACATTAGTTCTACAGAATAAATTTCAAAAAGTCAGACTACTGTGTCTAATAGACTATACATGGTTTGATCTTAATAAATCCTGTAAGATGAAAGTGATTTCCCCTGCCAGTAACACTGTTATTTGCCATATTCATGACAGTAGATGGCCCCAATGTTTTAATGCTTTGCCAGTCTTAAACATGAAACAAACAGGCAAACAAACAAAAATCACAGTATCTCCTTATTGTTTTAAATTGCAGTACCCTGAGACTACCTGCCCTGACGCTTGCCATTATTTAGGACCTGAACTATCAGAGGGAATCTCTCTCTCTCTCTCTCTCTCTCTCTCTCTCTCTCTCTCTCTCTCTCTGTGTGTGTGTGTGTGTGTGTGTGTGAGTGTGTGGTTTTGATGCATTCTTGGAGGTCACTTGTTCAGGTTCCCAAAAGGATATGATGGGGAACCTGAGAGGTTTCAGGGTGGAAGGTCAGCCAGCAGTGCAGAAGGTTGAGAGTCAAAGGGCACAGGTTCCTGCCCTGACCTTTTCACGGAACCTGCCTGTGGTCTTGGGAGGTGTCACAGGTCGTGTTCCCAGGGAAGCACACTCAGGGCTCTGTGGGCAGGATATTTACTGTGGTGCACTCTCTGGATCAATGCAGGTCGGGGCACGGGCCATGGAGGAAACAAGAACAAGCAGAGGAGGCAGCAGATGTGTGATGCAGCCGCCTTCCCGTGACAGCTCTGAGGTGTCCTGACTTACCAAGGGGCCTCACAGCTCTCTGCGTGGAGCAGTCATTGGCAGCAAGAAGCTCCCTGGGACAGGTGTGTGGGCTTAGACATGATGGCAGTTTGAGCCAAGGGCCATACAAAGAGGACTCAGCTCTGCACTCCTGGCTCTCAGCCCTCCCTGAGGCAGGGAAATGGATTCTAGAGGGAAGGTGTAGCCCTGCAGTGCCCACAGCATCCAATTCAGCAAGTGCCTGCCTCTCTCTGGGTCCCAGTTTATTCACCTGTACGATAAGAGAGTAGGATGCGCTGGAGGCCTCCCTGTCAGCTCCAGGGTGGTATGGTTTCCCCAGCCACATCCTGAGCTCCACCACCCACTCCCACTTAAGCTACACCCAATGTAGCTATTCCTACTGCTGTGTCTTGCAACTCACTAAATTAAAGAACAAAATGGGGAGGGAGGAAGGAGAGGAGAGGGAGGAAATCCCTAGACCTATAAAACTGTATCATAGAAAATAATAACAATTTTTAAAAAGAACAAATACTTATGCAATGCTAAGCAGGCTGCTCAAGTTCTCTGAGGCAATTTTTTCATCTAAAAAACTAGATGTCTTTGGTTGTGAGAAGCAAACGAGAAAGCTTAATAAATGTTGTTTCTTTTTGCTCTTCATGTTGTTTAAACAGCTGAGTCTAAACAATAGCATCCATTGATTTTCACAATAAATACTGCATATAATTTGTTCCTTCTTGTTAAGCCTTAGCTTAAAAACACTCAAGTCACTCAGAAGTTTTACTCTGGAGCCAAATAAGTTTACCATCTATGTCCAGGCTGCGTCCTGTTCTGCACCCCATCACTGGACAGGGCTCCTCTGCCTCAATCTTGAGAACACAGAAGCCTTTTCATTTCCTTTGCCAAGAAGAGACATCAGCCAGCATTACCTGGGAACTTGTTTGAAATGCACCTGCTCATAGCCCCCACCCACCTCACGGCCAGCCCGTGGTCATGTGTACACACATCAGAGGAAGACCTGGCAAAATGTGTGTGTCCCAGGCCATTCTGATGTCTGTGCAGGTTTGAGAACCATTCCTGGTCTTGGTGTCTGGGCTCACTGAGAGCATGCGCTCTTGAGTTTATCCTTGCCTCAGCACCCTTCACCTCCTTCTTCTCACTCGAGAAGGTAGACAACACCAGAGAAATGGAGCCTTTGGCAGGAGGAGGTCTTGGCTGTAACCTGTGCTTTTTGGCATTGCAGGAGCAGCTGCCCAGGGGCCAGCCTCGTGGACCTAGAGCCTTCTCTGGGTCACATGGGGCAGTCCATGGCTCTACGGAAGTCTAGTCAGAACCACAGACTCCTGATCTTCAAGTCCACTTGGCAGAATCTCTGAAGCAGTGATTCTCAAAGTGTGGTCTTCAGACTGACTGTCAGAGCCACCTGGACACATCAGAAACACAAGTTCTCAGGCCCCAGCCCAAACACATTCTGTTCTGATTCTGATACTGACACACGTTTCACAGCCACTGGCCTAGACTTTGCAAATAAGTTTAGCTTCATTTGCTTCTTTAACACCTCCCCACTCCTTTCCTCAGGCTCTGTTTTGCTAGCTACA